CTCCCACCCCCCACCCCCCCAATCTCCCCATCATGCTGCAGGTCCCATGGCTGGTGGCAGCCAAGGGGGCTGGAGAGACACAGCTCTGGGCAGGAGACATGAACGTGGAGAGGCAGGATCGTCTCTGCAAACCCTGCGACACTGCCTGCACCAGCCAGCAGGCTCTTCCCGCTGCAGGTAAAACGCTGCCTGCTCAGCACAGGCAGGACACCCCGGCTTGTTGCAGCACAGAGCAAAGCAAACAGGAGCTGCTGGGAAGGTTTCAGGGTTCTCCCTGTCCCACGGGAGGCAAGGACCCACCTTCATGCACCAATGGGCTGGGACAAAGGTAGAGAGTTGAAAAGCCCTCATCAGCATGAATTCATCCTTCACGATGGGAAAAAAAAACCTATCACATCCCAAGGTATGGAGAAATACTCAGTAATTTGGGATGAAGCAGGGAAGAGAGTTTCCATGTTTCCTTCACCATCAGCGTCATCACCATCAGTGAGTTTTCAGTGGGATCCATCCCCCCTATTTGATCCAGCAAGCATGAAAGCTGAGGCCAAATTCAGCAAATACCCACTCCAGCCCCAAACACACACACATCTTAAATACAGACCTTTCAGAAAGCAGGAGACTGTCTTTAAAAAAAAAAAATTACAGAAGTGTGACATGAAAACAAGCAGAAACCCCAATGCCACATAACCAGAGGTTCATTTTACTTGCTGTCAGGTCTGCAAGGCCTTGGAACTCCCTGCGATGTCGCCTCATTACCATTCAACTCTAAAAGAAAATGATGTGGCTCTGTCTCTTTGGCAACATTTAAAGGCCCCTGAGATTTTGAGCAGATGAAGTCCCTGTGTCCGTGTCTGTGCAGGCAGGGCTCACTCATCAATATCCCAGAGAGCGGGCGGAACAGCTTGTGTTAGCCCTCCGTCCTGCCAAACCCACGTCTCCGCTGGCACTTGGCAGCACCAAAAGCCCTCAGGCAGTACCAGCCCTGTCACCCTGCCAGGTGAAAATCCCCAGATCTCTCAAATCAGAGGGCATCTTAAGGGAGTTGAGCCCTGTCCTGGTCAGCACTGACAGCTGGCGTTTGCTGCCAGTGAATTCAAGCCTCAGGGACCCAACACCCCCCCACTGGCTCTGGGGGACGATGGCCCTTTGCAGGTGTGACCGGTGACTTGGTGCACAGGAGCCAGGGGCGTATCCAGGTGGGGAGCCTGCTTTGGGAAAGGAATGAGGAATATGCAGCTGAGTTGTCCTCATGAGCCTGCATGCACCGACATGTCTGTCTGTCCTGCTCACCCTCTTCACTTCCCCTCCCTCCCCCAGTAATTTTCCAACTGTGGCAGAGGGGCACAGGACTCAAACATACGTTGATCCATTCACTTGCAGACAGAGCAGAGGACAGACAGTTGTTCTGTACACACGAAAGGCTGCCAAGTAAGCACAACCCTTATTAGATACCAGAGAACCCACCCAGCCATCCCAAACCCATCAGAAAGTCAAGCTGCAACCTCCTGCTGCCCTCGAGCTGCACAGCACCATCTTACAGCAACACAGTCAGCAGCTCAGCGGTACGTCCCCACTCCTTTCACCCCAAAGAGGCTCCTACACCAAACCCCTCCGCTTTCTCCCCAGAAATCCCACGGCATTGGTGCCTCACCAGAGCTGGGACGTGAACGCAGCCCAGCAAACACCTACAGAGGATGGGCTTGTCCTCCATCCCCGGGGCAAGGGAGGGGGTGAGGTAGGAGCAGGGGGCTCTGCGCACACAGTGGAGTCAAAGCTCAACACAGACCTGTATTTTTGTCCAAATGTCTCTTTTCTTTTTGTCTAGCCAGGAAATATTCTCAGTCTCTTATTTAAAACCACTCAAGCCCCAGACCAAGCAACAGCGAGACACTTCTCTGCCTGATCATGGGAAAATAACAGCTAAAGTAGCAACAAACCCCAGTCCTGCTTTAAAAAAAAACAAAAACAACCAACATGTAACAATATCCTGAACTTTAACAGAAATGGGTGTGTTTGCAGTCTCCATGGCTTGTGCCCCTTTTTTGTGGTCTTTTTAAAAAAATACTGTCTCCCAAAGCCTCCAGCCCCCCTGGCCACAGCAGAACTGCCTGGGCTGACAGCTGCATCCCCGCTGCGCCAGGGCATCGCTCCACTGACCCACAGCTCCAGCCGTCCGCAGGCAGCCCCGGCCTGCCGGTCCCTGCCGAACCCTTCCCCGACAGGAATCCAGAGTCAAATAAAGGATCCAGGCAGCGGTGAGCAAGGTGGGGTTCAGCCTCCCCTTTTTGTCCCAGCACACTGCTCAGAAGAGGAGCTGCCCACCATTTGCATCCCAGCAGCCCATCCAGGGTAACTGGGTGGCCCATTTGCCGGTGGCCACCACTTGCAGTTTCGCCCGGTCAAATTGCCAGTACTGGTCATCCCGAAAGAAGTAGACAAAGCCGTCGCGATGGTTGAGGGCGCCCGCCGTGCCAGGGGGCAAGCCCTCCCAGTCCCGCAGGCTGCGGGGGTAGTAGGGCTCCGTGCTGAGGGTCTCCTCGCTCACCACGAAGTACTTGGGTCCTTTGAAGAGGACCAGGCGCTGGAGCTGCTGGAAGTAGAGTGCGGTGTCGGGGTGCCGCGGGAGGCCACGGGCGCTGCATTTCTGGGGAAAACCTGCCGCCAAGGTGGAGCCTGTGTAGCACCAGCATCGGCCACCTGGGGAGAGCAGGGAAGAGGGGTTCGAGCCCACCCCAGTGGGGTCCATCACAGGACCAGCTCCAGGAGACATGGAAGGACTCAGCCACGGAGCCAACCTTGCAGCCCAAGACAGGCATCTGTGACACCCATCCTGGTGGTGACCCAACCAGCACCACTTCGAGGCTGCCCCACAGATCAGGCTGGGGGGGGGGGAAACTGAGGCACGGTAGCTCAGGGGCTTGAAAGGGACTGCCAGGGACAGAGCAAGGCCACCACACCGTCTGCTAGCCCACGCTGCTTCCTTGCAAAGCTCCTCTCTGTTCCTACATGGCAGGCAGGACAGATGGAGGATGGAGCCAGACCCCTTCACGACCAGGACAAGCCAGACCAGACTGCAACAGCAGGAATTGCAGTTGGGGCCAAGCGCTTGGCTGTCCCCGCAGAGCCCTGTCCCCCAGAGCCCTGTCCCCCAGAGCCCTGTTCCTTCGAAGCAGGCAGACAAAAGCCCCTTTCTGCTTGCAAGACGTGGCCTGACCCAGCCCCAGGGAGGGAGGGAACGGCTGAAGGCTGGGGAGGGAGAGGGGCTTTTGGCTTTCACCCAGCACAACAACAAAGCCCCCTTTCTGATTAGCCAGCAACTGGTTTCCATTAAAAGCTGGGGCTGACCCTGGCAGCCAGGCTGCCTGATTTGACCTTCCTCTACCCGTCTGGCTGCAGCGTGCTGCCCGGCAGCTTGCAGATGGCATTTGAGCTCCCCATGGCAGCTCAGCCACTGGCACGACATAGGGAACCATGTGTGCCATGGAAACACCACACTCATCTCAGCTTCCCTGCGGCCACATGTCTTTGGGGAGAGTTTTCTCCTCTAAGAACCTGAAAAGTATGAGGCATCTGGTTTTGTTTTTAAACACAAGTGAGCATTGCTCTCCTGAATGCGTTAAAGGGGAAACTGAGGCACAAGGGGGGTGACACAGGCTGCCGGGGTGATATGCCCAAGGCCATACGGTTAATCTGTGGCAGGCACTGAGCCCAAGGCTTTTGTGGGCTTTTGCACACCTGGGACCCAGTGATGCCCCAGTTCTGCACTGGGATGGGACCAGTGAGAGGGGACAGGGGCCGTGAGCAGGAGAAGGTGTTCCAGCCCCACCCGGACAGCCAGACCAGCAGGCAGGAGCAGCATCAGCCCTGAGGGGAGCTCTCCTGTCTCTGCCTCACCTACCTTTGAAGAAGTAAAACTTGCCGCTGAGCTGGGACCAGGCACAGGCGTCGATGCCAGCAGGGAGGCCAGGCCAGCGCGTCTGCAGGGGCTGCGGGTCGCTGGCATTGCCACTTGCTGGCACCACCCAGTAGTGGCTGCCCTTGAAGATGTAGAGGTTGTGATCTGCATCTGTGGGGCAATGGGAGGAGTGAGGGGGTCCTGGGTGAGAAACCTCATCCCACCTCCCAGCTGCTGCTCCCCAGCTCCTCTCTCCTCCCTGTGCAGCTCCACGGTGCTTCACAGATGCTTGGCTCTTGGAGGCTCCCTTCTGCCTTTCCAGCCACCCCCTCAGCTTCCATAATTCATTGCCTCCACTCCAGCCTGGAGAGGATAAAAGCTGACCACAGCTCTCGCTCAAGGCTCATCTTTCATGGTCGAGTTCCTGCAGTGAATAAGCTTTGCCATGGCCCAAGTTTTAGGACGTCTTCCCCCCTCCTAACACAGCAAGCCATTGCTGAGTCCTCAAGATGGAACTCTGCTCTGCAGCAGTGATGTGCGTCAGTGATGCCACCAGCCCTAGGAGCATGTGAACCAGCCAAACCCACCTCTCCCACCACTGGAGCTTATCAGAGCAGAAACAGGCTGATGCAGCACTGGGGCAAGGGGTGGGGGTACACGTTGTGGGAGAGGGTTGCACCTGCCAACACCCACCAGCAGTTATGGCATCGAAGAAGGAGTGGCAGTAATAGGCGCTGAGGCTCCTCTGTTGCTGGTCCCTGCCGTAGAGGTCTGTGCTCCAGTCCTGGAAGTGAGTGAAGACCTTTCCCGGGAGCTGGATGGCTGAGCCCTTGGAGGGCTTCCCTGGGATGGAGCAGAAGGCAGGGAGTTGTGGAGCAGGGACAGGGAAACAGCATTCCTCAGAGCACTGTGTGAGCCCAGGGCTGAGGACCCATCCCAGGGCTCCAAACACTCCTTGTCCCACTGTCTGGTTCCTGTCTCTATAGGGTGGTGGTAGAGACCCCTTGGTACCCCCAAAAAACAGGCACCAGTGTTTCCCTGGTTGAAAGCAAGCACGGAGCAAGTCCAAACTTCCCTGCCCTAGAGGATCTAGTACCCATCCCACATGCTCTACCGTATCTTCCTCCCCAACCACAAAGGGATGGGGCCCATCCCCACCATGACCCTTGCACACAGTCCTCTCCCCTTGCAGAGATCTGCTCCTCACTCTCCATTCCAGGGAGCAGCCCTGGAGGAACCGAGGGACACTCGGGGAAACCAGGCTCACCATACAAGTTCTGGACAGCCAAGATGTCATCCCAGCTGAGGACAAAATCCTTGCTGAGCTTCTTGTAGTAGGGAGACATCAGGGCACTCTTGACGGGAGAGTGCTCCAGCCCCAGCGTGTGGCCAACCTCGTGTGCCACCACGATGAAGAGGTTGCGCCCTTTGCCGCTGTGCAGGGACCAGCGCTCGGCGCTGTCGAAGTGGGCTTCTCCACGCCGGGGGAAGAAGGCATGAGCCAGGGCACCTCCTGTGGACACAAGAGCCATCAGGGACCACGTGGCAGGAGAGGACCTCAGCCACAAGCTGAGGGGCAGCGGGGCACATGCAGGTTTGGTTTGCTTAAATATGCACCAATTTTAGCTCTTTGGGAGGTCTCCTGAGAAAGAACAGCAGCTTCCCATGACTGCTTCCCACTGCAGGTGCAACCCAAACCTTCTGCTCCTGAGCACGGGGGGGTTTGTCTGCTCTGTGGTTTATGGGTTTGGTTTCTTGCTGGGCTTGGGCCAGGGCCTGAAGCCACTGCAGGGACCCATACCAGGCAAAGGTTCAACAAGAGAAAACCTGGACTTGTCTGATAGCGGATTAGCAGAAAGGGTCAGCTGGAAGTAAAGAGCTCAGGTTTGGAGGATGCTGTCAGGGTGGGGAGGGCTCCTCGAAGGCCATCAGCATGATCCTGTAATGAGTATCTCGGTCGCCTCACTGGCAGACCTTGCAGAGTTGGGAGTGAGGACCTCAAATCAGAAAGCAAACTGGTGCAAACTGGGTTAGAGGGACTGCTGGGGCAGAGCCTTGCCTCCATCACCCACAACCCATCACTGCCCCAGCCCTCCTGCCTGCCAGGGAAGAGCTCATGTTGTAAAAGAGAAGCTTACGAGGGGGAAGCGACCAGCACCTGGCCCATCGAAGGCGTTGTTGAGTCCATCGTTGTGGTCCCCATGGAAGAAAGTCAGGCGGATGTCAGCCAGGCCGTCCCGCGCCTCCCAAAACACCAGCGAGGACACATTGCTCCAGAGCTCGAAGGCGGCTTTCACGGCCAGGCGCACCTCGTGCTGCGGCAGGTAGGGGGGCCAGTTCACCACCCGGTAGGTCAGGTGCCGCTTGTACCACCTCCCACCTGCAAGAGGGGCAAGATCAGCAGGAGGATGGGGACTTGGACTTGCTCTTCCACCCACAAGCCGCCTGGGTGGAGAAAAGCTTCCCAGTGCTGTGAAATGCCATGGCTTTCCCAAGCCAAAGCTCAAAGTCAACACGTGTCCCACCAGCAGCCTTGGCACCCTGCACCAGCAGCAGGATTAGACCCATGAAATCCCTCTGAAGGTACCACCACTAGATCCCACTCAGAGATCTTCAAGGCTAGAGCTGCAACCAAACCCTAAGAGAGGGGCCAAAATTTGTCTGAGGAGAGGAGAAGCTGGGGCACCCAGTTTGAACATTCCTTTGCCTTGTCAGGCTTTTCAGGGCCAAATCCATCATGGGTCCCTGACCTGTAGGTCTCCTGTCTGATGCCAGCTTCATGCTCAGAAGAAGGTGTAGCCCAAGAACTGGCTTTTAGGGAGAGAAAGCAAAGCCACCTCTGAAAACAAGTGGGCCAAAGGCAAAAGGAGGGGTAAGGGCTCTCAGCAGCACCTTAGGGACACAATGGAACTGCCAGGATGGGGATGTAGGATTGCAGCCCAGTTAAGGCAGATCTGCCAAGAGCTGGGCACCAGACAGAGAGGAAAAAGAGCTGATCCTCAACAGAGCAGCTGGCTTTGAAATACATCCCCAGGAAGGAATGGTACCGACTGCTGTAACAGCAGATGCTGATCTCCACACACCCAAAGACCCGGGACACAGCTGTCCGGCAAGCACAGGCGGGGAGGAAAAGTGCCCGTTCCTACCAGTGGGAAGTGCAGCAGAGCCCTGCGGCTGGTCCCTGCAGTCAGTCCCTGTGGTACCTCTGCCCCTTCTGCAACAAGCCCAGATGCTGCGGGAACACCAAACCAGGGGCCCACGGGAGGGGTGTGTGCCGGGCTGGGGCTCCCCAGCACCCAAAGCTCCCTTGGTGAGAGGGGACTCCTCCCTGTTTCCCCTGAACTCCCTCTCTGAGTCTGGTTTTATAGGGGATTCCTTTTCTTTTTTCCCCTGAACTCCCTCTCTGAGTCTGGTTTTATAGGGGATCCCTTTTCTTTTTTCCCCTGTACGTGTAATTTGAACACAGCAGATAGTGAGCCCAGGCAAGGAAAAGGAGGCCAGCTCCCCAGTGGCAGGGCTGACTTTTCACCATTTTTAAGGGCATCCTGACCATTTCTACCTGCAGAAGATGTTGCTTGGAAGCCCAGCGGGAATAAACGACTGCTCACCATTAATTTTAAAAGCATCATCTTACCAGCACCAAGAATCTTACTGCCTATGGCTTCCTTAAAAGCTTTTTCAGGGAAAACAGAGCCCTGGTGTCACAGGGCAGATGGTGACAATGACAAAGGAGACAAGCCCATGAGATTCCCCTAAGCTCCCCACCCTCCTCCCACCACACAGGAGTGCCAAGATGTGTGTCCCCGCAGCATCACAGCCCCCTCCTCCTCCTCCAGCACCCCTTGGCAGCTGTGGGGATGCCAGGGCCCTGCAATTACATCTAGCTGGGGGCGTCCGGGAGTGGGAACAAAGCCGTGGGGCCATGCTGGAGAAATGCAGGTGTTAGAGCCGGTGCTGGGGCGTGGGAGCGGCGACAGACCTCCAGTGACTGTGCCTGCTCCAGATGTGCTGGGAAACAGGGGGAACGGAGCCGGCAGCACGCCGGGGCTCGCTGCTGTGGGTCTGAGCCAAGCCGCTCGGCAAACCTGGCAGATATCCCATCCCAGCTCTGCTTCTTTCTCCCCTGTTTCTGAGCAGACCACAGAAGTGGAGGCTCCAGGTCAGTTGGTTGTGCTCCTGAGGGCAGAATTGGTTCCCCCTGCTCGTCAGTGCAACGATGGCCCCCAGCTCAAGAGGGACACGGCTGCACTTCCCACCAGTCAGGACAAACCCCATGAGGCAAAGGCTAAATACCTGCCTGAACGGCTGCAGGCCTAAGATAAAACCCCAGTATCCCATCCTGCCCTCCACAGGGGCAGAGCATCTCCCACCAGCGGGCAGGGGCAGGAGGCTCAGCCAGAGCATCTCCAGTGGAGGAGGATGGATGCACCAGTGAGCAGGGCTGGCTCTTGGGAAGAGGAGGGCTGGGCACTGCACGCAGCCATTGAGCCCGCGACAATCACAGGCAGGGAGCTCCCTAGGGGAAATCCACGATGCCGGCTGCCGGATGCACCGTCTGGTCGAGGAGCTGCTGGTGAAACCCAGCAAGGAGTCCTCTTCCCAACACCCCCCCACTGCAGACCCTGATTCCCAAAGAGGACCTCTCCCCAAACCTTCCCGCAGAGCAGAAAGCCTCGGGCTTTGACTGCAGAGGGGAGGCTGTTTAGAGGCGCAGAAAGGGGCAGATGCACCAGACCCTGTCCCATGCAGGGACCTGATCTCCACTGCTGGGCTGGGACCAGCCACGGGAGCAATGGGAGGGATGGATGCCCTCCTCAGCCCCACGCTGACCACCGGCTGCCGGGCTAACCGGGTTGGGAGCCAAAGCTCAGCCAGCGCTGGCTTTGCCCACGCGCTGAGGCGTGAGCGTTGCCCGAAGCTGGTGGGATGACGGACACAGCCGCTGCCTGGCCAAGCTCTTGCTGGGAGAGGGGTGGACAACAAAGCACTTTGCTGGCTTGGCTGCAGCAGCTTCCTGCTTCAAGTAGGATAAACAACCAACTTAGCACAAAGCCTCCAGCCTTCCGCCAGCCGTGAGGGCACCCCCCCTCCCCTCCCGCCTGCGGGCACCGCTATGGTGCTGCTTCCATCCCCTCTGCCTGCTGGTGCTGCCGCCAGCTGCACCCCAGTTTGCTGCCACAGGGGATCTGCAATAACTGGTGTCACAAAGGCTCTTCCCTGTCTGGGCCCGGAGCCGCTGGGTGTCTCTTGCCACCCACCCATGGCCATGACCCCCAAAAGGGAGCCCCATGAGCCACGGGGCACAGGCTGCTTCTATCTGCCCATCTCCTGCTGCGTGCCCTTCGCAGCTCTGCCTCACTGCCCTCCTGCCCGGGGCATGGCAGACCCTCTGCCTGGGATGGTGCCTGCAGGGGTGATGCTCCGTGTCAGGGTTTTGGGAGAAAAATCAGAGGCAGGAGGGGGATGACCAGGCTGCCTCCTGGGGCCATCCATCACCAGCCCTGCCAGATGCAGAGACAGCCTGACAAGGCACAGAGCCCTTTCTTAATCTCGCCTTCATTTTTCCCATGTCCTAAACACAGCTGGCCCCAGCCCTCTTGCTCTCTAAGAATCCAGTTACTCATCCACAAGCCCAGAAGGCAGCTCATGAGAGCCAAAAGGCCCAGTCCTGAACACACAGGAGCAAGAGAGGTTGCTTGGAGCAGAGTTAAACCCCTTAACGTGTGTGAAATGACTCCCTCTGGCCAGGCAGATCAACATCAGCAGGTTTTGTGGTTACTGCTGGGTGTGTAACACATAGTAGAAGTCTCAAAGCTCACTAAAGCATAGAGATAACTTCACTGTGTGCCAGCCCTTTTCCTCCATGCCACCATGAGGCCTTGGGAGATGTCATGGCTCCTTCCACAGCAGTAAAACCACCGCAGACAGCTGAATTTCCCAAGTGGGAGTTGCATCTCTCTAACCATTGCTGACATCAAGCCATACAGAATAAACTAAAAATATAAAGCGGTGCAAAGCCCAAGGGGGCCCTGGCCTGGACGCTGGGCCGGCACCTCCCATCCACAGCAGCATCTCCAGGAGTCCAGTTACAGGATGGAAGAGTTGGGCTGCCAACACCCCAGAGACCCGAAGCCCACCAGGGCGCCCAGGGTCAGTGCTCACCGTGCCGCGGGGTGCGCCTGCGGCGCCGGGCGGCGGCTGCCCGACGTGCCCCGGCAGCGCGGCTCTCCCCGTC